CTCAGCTTGAAAATCAGGGATCAAAACGTGGAAGCCCGCCCGGAAGGTGCCTGCTTCAGCAGTGATGATCTCAGTGTCCACAAGGTGAAGAGCCTCATGAGCCTCTGGACGACGACCTTCACGTGGGAACGCTGTAGGCTCTCTGGCTCTTGCAGTTGGCACATGCACACCAAAGTCGCTTAAGCGGCCGGCAGGGCAGTCGGGAACACTGTTAGGTGCCTGTGCTGACGTCTCTGGCACTGGAGAAATGGTGGAATGAGGGGTAGTGCTGCCAGCATCTCCAAAAACGCGCGAGGCGAGGTCCCTTGCTATGCCTATCTTAAGAACCTGAAGGTCACCAAAGAGGCGATTGTGTAGCAGGATCCCGCAAAGGCCGGGTGGTGTGTTCACATCGGCTGCGGCAAGAATATCGGGCAGGTCCGGCGCACGACAGGTAGTAGTAGCTGTCCTGGGCGCGAAACCTAAGGGGCGCAGATCTAGGAAATAATGACAGTAAGGGGCTGAATCAGTCAGCTGGTCGTGATCTGGTGAATCATCGTGAATGACAAAAGTCTGCCGACATGTGAAGCCATCGATGTGCAAGGGCGGGCAGTTGTCGACAAGAGTCACCTTGGCACTCTGTGGTGGCATTCGGCAGAATTTCATACATAAACGCAGAGCTACATCTTGGGGCCGTTCTTCGGGGAAAAAGGACGGATCGAAAGCGAAGATTTCGGTACCACAAGACACGGCCGTACTGCGCAGTAAAGGGGGCTTGGGCATGTGATCAATGCGACCCCAGCAGGCAGTGGGCGAAAAGAGAATGTCGTCCGGAGCATTGAAGGGTTTGCCATGTGCAGTGCGGATGACATGTAGAACATCACCATGTGTGTGAAGCATCGGCTCGTCGCGAGGCGCTGCCTGGCTGCGATTGCTTACCCAGATTTGCACAGGTTCCTCGAACGGATCTACGTTCATTTGCCCATATATCATAGTGAACAAGCGATCCGGGGTGCAGCCTGTGGGGAGGGCCTCAACATATATTCCCCCGCCAACTCTCGACAGATCGACAATGATCGCTTTGCGCAAGCTCCGGTCCTGATCTAAGACACTTGGGTACGTAACAATCGCAAGGTATCCATCCTGTGGCTGTGGTCTGAGCGGCTGGATACAGTCATGGTCTGGACACGGCAGTAGCTTAGCATCTCGGATGTCATGGAATAGCTGTGCAAGGGAAGAGTCACGAGTTGTACGAAAACCGAAAGCTCGGGGCTGGATGTACGGGGCGAACACAGTAATGCCAAGCCATTCATCGGTACGCAGGTTCATATGTTGCTGCCTGTCAGGAGGGAACACCCATCTGGACTGTGCCTCACCTGAAGTGACCGGATGGTCGCTGGAAAAGGGTTCAGGCACTGAAGCAGAATCGATGGTCGCAGAGGCTGCGAAGGCCAAGTCCTGCACGAGACTGCTTACCTCTACTGTACCCACAATGTCAACCAAAGGCATGCCGAAACTAATTGGGAGCTGAGAAAAACCCAAGAAGGCCAGGAGGGCCCTGCGGATAATGCCTATATGTGCTGTGCAGACCTTCGACCTGCTTGCACTGGGAGTAGCAGGGGCCCAGGAAAGCACGGGTTGGGCTGTGGTGGCGAGGCCTAAAGGCAGGAGGCACGATCGTGGCACAAACATGAATGGGCCACGACAGAGTCGCCCTAAAGGTGAGCAACGGCCTGGAATGCATCTGAGCCACAGCTGCACAACACCAGCACCAATGATCAGCAAAAGGCTGTGATAAAAGGCTGTCACGAGGGACAGGAAATTGGTCGTCAAGAAATGACTGACTTCGTCATCTGAAATAGTGCGAGCTCCCACCCCCGAGCCACCGATGTGGGTATTTGGCGCTTCGCAAAAATGAAAACTAAGACGAGGAGATTCAGTGACGCCAGAAGTCACGTCCCGAGCAACTAGGCGGGATGATCGCGCACAGCAGCAGCCATAAATCGGGGCGCTTTGGCTGTGAGCACAAGTGGCACAATCTAGTGCGAAAAATTGCAAGGCTGGCTTAAGCAGCGCTTGAGAGCCATATACCTGTGAGTCATCTGCAAGGGGGGGTCCAACAGGACTATACCCAACGATGAGCTCAAACTGAAAGGCTGGGCTGTGCACCGGCAGCAAAAGGACGGAGCACTGCCTCCACGCGGTGTGAGGTGTAGGAGAATGAGAGCAGGATCCAGTGCTCTGAGGAATGAAATGCCATAGCAAAATCTGTATGTGACAGTCAATGTACTCGCCAAAGAGCCCAGGCGCACGAGTGTATGGGCTGGCTGACAGGAAGAAAAGGCTGGGCAGCGCATCGGCTGCAAATGCAGGCGGGGCCAACCAAACTGTCTCAAAAACCCAATGAGGCAGCAAGTTGGCGGAGGATGAGGGGAACCGAAGACAAACCAAAGTCGAAGCCCAGACAATGGATGCCTCCGGTGCCTTGCAAAAGTAGCAGCAAGCAGCCTGAAGCGAAGGAGGCCAAGTGTAAAAGGGATCGGCGGATCGGGTATTAGAGTGTGAATCGCGCACGAATACTTTACACATGACTACCTTTGTACAGTGGCCTCTCATAGAAGGGGCCATACAGCCAGCTTGTGAGCAGGCGTGCAAAGAGGTAGTCCACCCGACTGGCAACTGGAAGAAGGACTGACCCATTTCAGTCACAGCTTCCGGGCCAACCAGGGGACATCTAGGCAGTTGACGTTCAGTCCATAGAGTCGTCGATGCCCTCCTCGTCGTCGCGGTATATGACTGCATGAGCCAGCCCTGCAGGGGCTGGGTGATTCGCAAGTTCCGATAGGCCTGGCGGCGGCGGGCCGCATCCAAAGGGCCTGAGCGCCTGGGACTGCTGCAATGTTGCCCGTTTCGATGCTAGCTTCTCTTCCAAGGTGACATGCCGCGTAGGAGCCGTCGTCTTGGTCTTGGTAGCATCCTTGATGGAGGCTCTGGGAGGGGCTTCCGAAGTGGCAACTCGGGCGATGTCTCTGTCTCTCTGTCCGGGGTGCTTGGGAATCTGTCCTGGGCTGAGGCTGGGAACCGGAGTGGGGACTGCATCCTCCCGTCCTGAAGGAGTTGTAACTGGCGTGGTGCTGACCGCAATGTACGGATCGTGTACAGCTGGAGGTTCTGCTTGTGGAGAAGCGGTCGGAGCAGTCGGCCCCGTCACCGGAGTCCTCGGTCTCACCCTGGCCACGCGAACTGGTGTTGTAGGCAGAGCCTGTGAGGCCAAAGCTCTCTGCAGAACGCCGTCCATAGTGTGGCCATCCTCCTCTGCCCAGCCATCGAACAGAGCTGCAACTTGTTGCTCCGCTTGGGGTGGGAGGACCAGGGAGTTGCTTCCACTGGCCTCCCGGATGGCAATTTTGCGGACCAGATCCCTGGCCACACTTTGCTGGGCTTCCGCATCCAGGGCATCTCTCTTGATGCGCTCGAGGTCGGCCATGTGCCTGCGCCGTTCGGTTTGGTAATTGATTTTTGCTTGCTCCTCGAAGGATGCCCAAAGCTCCTGCGCAGTTTCGTACGCAGAATGAAGCTTCTGTACACGGAGTTCGGCTTTCCGTGTGACATTGAGTGCTGATTGCATGTCCGTGACGAGGTTGCCCGTGTCCTGCAATCTGGAGGCTACATCTATCGCACCTTTGGGGGTTGCCAGGGCACCAGCCGCGACTCCACTGTAAGTAGGGAAGGAAAGCTTCTTCGGTTGGGGCTTGGGCGCTGGATATCTGTCCTTCCATGGCGCATGCTTGGGAGAGTAGGCACCCCGCCACAAGTGCCAATTGGCATACTGACCACCTTGGTGATCTGGCTGCTGTTGTCCTTGCCATCCTCGTCCGCGTCCTCCCATTCGCAGTAACTCAAGCCTGCGTCTTGGGCAAGTACCGTGATGCAGGGCAAGTAGCAGCAATGCTTTGCGGGGGACTGGAAGTCCCTTACGCAGAGATTTGCGGGTCCGAGAGCGTAGGGAACGCCTATGGCGATGCCAAGGAGGACTAGGCGGCGCCGTACTGCGCCAAAAGCGACACTGTTGTGTCTGGGGCTCTTTATTCCGGGCCGTCCGGCGATTTGAGCCCTCCAAGGCGGCCTTAAGAATTAGAATAAGGTGTTTTGGGTATATTATACTACTTTAAGAAGGAAACCACCAAAATAGTCGAGGTAATTATGAAGGCCCCTATGTTACCAAGACCCCCAACATCCGAACATGCTAGGAGCCTCCGCCCGCGAGTCCCGCTTCCGGTTCCTCACAAGAAGCCGATGTCCGAAAAAGTTCACACCATTGTGAGCTTGCTGCTTCATGGGGAGGGGTGCTGTAATAAACCTGAGTTATTGTAGTTCCGAATCATCCACCAGCGCATCATCCGAGGATGGCATCCTCTCAGCCACTAGGAATGTTGGATGTATGTGGCCCAGACATCTTTTGACCACTCTTTTGTCGCGAGAAAGTATGGACGGATGTTCGTCCGCAGCTAAGTTCAGGCGTGTAGGAGGAGGAAGCACCATCTGCAGGGTGGGGGGGGGGGGGTTCTGCTGCAGCTTGCATGTCGGAAGATAGGTCTCCCGATTCAGTGGCTGCTGCCTAGCTTTGCCACAGTACCCTGTTCCCTAGTATCTTGGTGGATAGGCTTCAAGATGCGTCCTTACGCATCTTGGACATCAGCAGATAGACGCTTCCAGTCTTGCGACATCCACGGCTCGATCTGGAAGGAGGGGCAAGCTCAACGAAACTCCGACCCCGTTTTAAGCCCTTCCGACTGTGCGATATTTCTGGCCGAGTGGGTCCTACCTTCCCTGCCCTGTACCCCGGCTACCTTGGACCCCTAGAGAACGGAAGCATCAGTCACAAACCCTCTATCCGTCAAATTTCTGCGAACAAAGAGCCCTTAGTCCGAAACCCCTAATAATTAAACTAAACCAAGCCCTTAACCCGTAACCCTAACTCCCAAAACCTGCAGCAAAACCTTCGATTCCCGACGTGGGGCCTCGAGCACGCCAGGAGCGTTGCCGGCCTGCGCTGCTTCCGCCAGCTCCGCCGCAAGGGCCGAACGCGTCGCACCGCGTGCCAGCCCCGCCAGGAAACCCTCAGCTTGATGTAAATAAGAGGAGTAATGGCAATAACTATCATCATCATCATCATCATCGCACGAGGTTTTAGGGTCTGTGTGTGTATGGCTTTAGGGTCCGGGACATGACATTGCTGATGTAAAGCTAGATGCACAGCCTAGAAGACTCCGACCCAGGCCTTAAAACCTAAAACAAGCTTCAAGCAAATTATGTAATTAACCCTGCACCGAATACCACTGATCCCGGCAACCCACACAAATCCAAACTCACTAAGCTGTAGATCTCCGGTGTTGTACGTAGACTTTGCAAGAAAGATTCTTGTCCAAAGTCCTGACGATGCACTGAATCCTGGATCGGAGGGCCTTCCATGGCTGGCATGCCTCGGCACGCACGCGCGAATCGATCTCTGAGCGCATCCGCGCCGCCTGTCATTGACCAGAGGATCTGCAAGGTGAAGCTCGCTGGTTATCTCATGTCAGCTGTCCTGACTGCAGGGTGCTTCGCCGGTACCTTTCTCAAAAAAGCCTAAATCCCGTACGAAACCGTCTGAATCTTCTGGAAACGCTACAGTAAACCGCTCGGAACCCTGGATATGGAGTTCCGGTGGGTTCTGGGCCTTCGGGCCCAGGCTTGGTCACTGTCACTGTCTCGGGTGTGACGTTTAGCATGCGGGGTGGGCAATACCATGGCATGATTATCGAGACCGTAGCCCTTCATGAAGTCCTTCTTGGGGAACAGTTATTTGGGGAACTGCGGGGCAAGATCCCGGCTGCCTCGCCGGAGTTGACCTGGGCAGGTCCTCTCCTGGACTGAGGAGTCTCAGGCCCCCGAGATTTTGAGCTCTAGGCCTTCGGAGTTTAAGGATTGAAAGCTTCGGCTCTTCAGGTGTTTGGGGCTGTTTAAGGATTTCCACTTCGGGGCTCTAGGCCTCTGGGCCATAACTGTTGGCAGACGAAAGCACTGCCTCTAAACAGCCTGGCAAACAGCCTGATACAATCTTGTACACACTCTTTTAAGCCCTACTCTCAAGGCAAGTCGCCAGTCCACGCTTGCTGGACCTAGCTCGACGGCCTCCAATGCGACCGCCTTGCCAGAAGTCTAGCTAAACGATTTGAACTTTAACCTTTTGCAGAGATTTAGGGTTTGCGGTCGATGGCTTTGAGATTTTGGGACTTGATTCCAACTTTCCAACTTTGGGGTGGAGGGTGGCGGGTTGTGTAAGACGTACATGTTGTAGCTTCAGGACTTCGCACTGCAAGTTGTGGGTTGAGGGGAGGGCCGATGTTCAAGCTTTCCCTACACCCTCATCCACCTTCCCAATCCGCCACCCTTGGGCCCGTGTAAATGGATTGGCACCAGAAAGAATTGCAAGATTTTGGGGGGCGGTTACATTAAGAGGGATTCCTCATGATGGGGATGAAGAGGAACGTCCTTGTTGGCACAAGAAGCTTCAACACGCTCGAGTCAGGTGGGTGCAACAAAGCAGCGCAGCTTTCAATCACGGTCTTGCAGCATCTTTGCAACACTGGCAGAAGTGAAAGTCATTAGAGCTCAAGTGCAAGACCTCCCTCACTCCTGGTCCACAAAATTTGTCATCTGCACTCCGCTCCCTGTGATTCCACCAGGACTGCTGGCATGCCATGGCTGCAGTGTGCTGGAAGGTGTCACCGGCACCGGAGATCTCACAGGCCGAGAGTATAGCCAATGTTGTTATTCGTTGTCTTGGTGGGCTGTCCTGGGTCCGAGAAGTAGCAAGCGCAAGGCGACGAGGGGACCCCATCCCAACACTTTCAAGCTGCAAGCAACGGGAATTAAATACATGTCGCGCAGACCGCCCCGGCCACAATCGACAAGCCCAGTGCGGGACAGAAAACATAATGAGCCACGTTAGACAGCAAGTGCTCGAGGGTGCACATCTAATATTCACCCTCCTCAGCATCGTTTCTGCTTGAACGATGCGGAGGGACTTACCACCTAAGCAGGGCTGACAGCAAGGGTGGACCTCAAAACTCATTCCTGATCTTGGTGGCGTTGTTGCAAGCAGCCTCGTCAGAGGAAGGTTGTCACTCGATTAGCCAGCGCCGACCGTGACATCAACAGGCAAGCTGCATGCTGTGCTTCCACCGAATGCCCCAGTGCCGTGTACAGTGTACATAGCCACCAACGCGCCTGACTTGGCAGTCGCAGCAGCTATGCCAAGCAACAGCGTGGCAGTGCACAAGAGAGGGGAGTTCGAGAGCCATTGAAGTCTTGAATCAATCACTGATGCAGCATCCCGCCAAGCACAAAGCATGGGAGTGACGAAGGCAAGGGCCTTGATTGTAGCAAGGAGTTGCGCCAAATCGACGGAACCCCGCAGGAGTCGGCACACTATCCACTAGTGACTAATCTAATTAGTTCAGCGTCACGGTTTCGGTGAACAGGCCGTGTCCAGCTGTTAACAACTCGATCTATCAGCACATCCAACGACTGTTGCATTAAAGAAGTCACCGTCGATTGGTCAGACCGTGGCTGCGCCCTGCTGAACACAAACTCGCGCAGTGCCCTTCAATCCCAGACCCGATCCCATCCTGATATATGCTGCGGTAGTTTGATGATCGATTCCCTGCGCCTACCTTTGCCCAGAACTGTGCTACCAGAATGTTGTAGAAGGACAAAGCCGACCCGGGGCAACTTCACAGAAAGCCTCGGGTGATCTCCCTACCCCAAAGCTGGCCTCGGCGGGCACCGGAGGGACATGAACAGCCTCCGCTTCGAAACACCGAGCGATGTAGGTCAGCTCCTTTCGCTTTGAGGAGCTTCCGGCCCCCAGGCGCACTCGGCACTCTACGGCTCTAAGAGACGATGGGCTCCAACAAAAAGCTTGTTGTAAAACTAGCCGGGCTTCCCAGAGCATTTTGGATGCTGAGTGCTAGGAGGAATCCGAAGCAGGATCGCCTGCAGGATTCCAAACTGAATCCCTTAGTAATTAGAAGCTCAGACTCCATGCCTCGCAACTTCTCGAGATTTCCGCCTCAACCCTCAGGCCTCTTAAAGCAAACTTCGGGGCTCCCCTTCAAGCCCAGCTAGAATACAACAGTGAGCACCCAATGCGAGCTTCAGGAAGCAACGCTCTAAGCACCGAAGCCTCTTCGACCGTAGCGAGGCTCCCCCCCCCCCCCGTAATTGAAACCCGACAGTAGCGGTAGTAGCCGCCACGGCAGCAACACGGCACAGAAACGTACAGCACCCTAAATGCTGTGTACCATGTTGGTATCCTGCCTCATCCATCCTAACCTTGCGCCCCCAACCTCAGCCTGAGGCCCCCAGATGCAGTGAGGCAGAGACCAAATCCCGAAGCCTTAACCCCCCCCTTAAACCCTAAACCCTAAGCCCTAAACCCCCACCCACCTGCTTCACCCTAAAGCTGACTACCGGCCGATCCTCCGAACCGCGGGCGACGGCCACCAAAGCTCCGGCCATCCGCCGCACCTCGCAGAAGCCGAAGCGCCGAAGAAGAGAGGGCTTGGGAGACGAGATCCCAACACCAAGGGCAGGGTTAAGTGTTTGGGGGTTGGGGGCAAGGGGGGGGTTTTGGGGGCTGAGAGAGCTGAGGGGCCGAGCGGCACCTTTTCCTACAACTTACACCAGCAGCTACCAAGGAGGCGCATGTAGTTTGTAATATCAGCATCATCGGCCGGGTGCATGATGACAAGTGGGAATGCTGGATCAAGGTCCCAGCATGTAGTGTCGGGGTTTGGAAGGAGTTGCTCAACATCGCATCGCCGACTTGCCACTGCCTCCCCTGAAGCCCGTAGCTTGCTATATCGGCTTCAAGTCCGAGATCTAGGGCTGCGTAGCTTCGCTGAAAAAACAGAGATCACCCAGTCTCCCAGGATGGACATAGCAATGCCGTCAAACAACAACAAACGTGGACAACAGGCGATGAAGGATACCCCACTAGGCAGCCCGAGCCAAACCCCAAACTTCAAACCCGCATCCTTGCGAGAACTCTGACGCTGCCAACGCTTAGGGCTTTCGGTGCACCGGCACTCGGGTTTAGGATCTTCCTCATCAACTGTCCCTCCGCTGGGAAAGTCGGTGCGAAAGGACGCAGTGTTACAGGCAACATTCATTGACAGTGAACTCAGATTACACTGAGATTTGTAAATCTTCTACGACATATATTGGGCTCCAAAATGCAAGGGTCGCGAGATTCCGCACTCCAAGGGTTTCCTGAAGTCTCGAGTTTGCAGAGTTCACCATCAATGGCTGGCTTCCTGACATGGCTCGACTCCAAAACCTCATCAATCTCATTGTGTTGTTCACAACGTTTCGGAGCCTCTTACATCATGGTGTACTGTGTTATACTCGACTATGTTGCAATATACCGTATCCATACTATATCATTATAATATCAAACTACGTCATATCATATCAGATCATATTAGTATATACAACCATACGTAAAATTTTGTTTACCTCTAACATAATTGATGCCTTGTTTCAAACAGCCTGGGCCTAGTACAGTACTTCGTGTAACATCCGTAGCAGTAGATAAGAGCAGCAAGAAGAGCCTCATCTCCGGGATGCCCGTTTTGGTCGAGTCTAGCTCATCTGTACAAAATGATCCATTGAGACATGGAAGTCTCTTGAGAAGGAGCGGGAAAGAACACAAAATTGGTAACACCGTCTAAATAAGGACTGTTCAGCCTCACCCGGACTTCCAGGATCTGCAAGTCTGACACTGGCGCCTCAGAAAGTCTTGAAAGCCTTGGCATTCCAATAGCCATGTGCCTTCAGCCATTTCGAGCTGTGGTGCTTGATCGATGTCCACTCCATCTTTGCAAGGTGTTGCTGCGCTCCGGTCACATGAACACATCCGTAACCGTTCAACAAGATGTGCCACGGATGACGGCAGGGGTCGAGCTTGATGCTACATCGCACATGAAGATATGCATTCGAAGCATTCCGTGCGCGCCATGCGACAGGGCGCGGGAGCGGCTGCTTAGCATGCAGCGTCTTCTTAGCTTCACCGTATTGAACGGTGAAGAGCGGGGCAATGCGGTCGGGTTTCAGGGCAATCACTGCATCGCCAACCACACGGACATGCTGCGACTCTCGGGTGCATGACCAGAAGCCGTAAGTCCTAGGGGCTGTGCAGCTTGTGGGGACCGCGTCGTCCACCACGCCGCACACCAGCAGCGCTGACTGGGCAGGCGGCACGAAGTTCAAGGCTAGACGCGGGTTCTCCAGGGAGGCGCTGTACGTCCCCAATCCATGCGCAGATCCATTGATGACTCGGAGCCCGTTTGTATCCTTGTCCGGGATCAGCAGGCCGCGCTCAAAGATTGAGGCGTGGTTGGAGGCGTTGGTGCCATGGAAGGTCGGGAGCAAGTCCCCGCCCCTGCCTTCAGAGTATGTCTGCAGAAACCCACTGCGGACGCCGCTGGACAAAGGCGTTGGCGACAGACTCCGAATTGCCAGCTTCGCCTTCAACGCCAGCGACTCGAGAAGGTTCCGCCCGTGCCTGCGCAGAAACTTGGCACGCAGGGCATCAAAGGCATCGGAGGACAGCTGGCGCCTCGCCTCTTCCAGCTTTGTCTTGAAGGGGCAAGGCCTGAATGGATCTCTGTAGTTTCGGGCAACTTCCTCGGCAAGCTCCAGGGCACGGTGCCAGCGTGCAAAGCGCTGGCAGCGAGGCACTGGAGCTGGAGTCCAGCAAGGAGTGCTTTCACAGCCGAAAGCGGGCCAAATAGAGGCTGTGGTCTCGGTGGAGGTCTCTGGTTGGCAGTCATGATCTAGATGGCTTAGGCAGTCGCCCTTACCTCTGCCAGGCCGCTGCGTTTTTCGACGCAGGCCCTTGGCATGAGCCCGGTTGACGCGCCGCTGCCTCGCGCGTTGCTTTGCAAGCATGTCCTCTGCTTTGGCATGCAAAAAATGCAGCCTCTTCAGCTCCTTTGCTGAGTTTTGAGCTTGGCAATCCTCTGGTACAGTTTGACCCACGCTTCGAGCTCGAGCAGACCTCCGCAGCTGGAGAAACTTGCTGTACCGGCAACGACTTCGGAGGGCACCTACGTCATGTCCCTCGAAACTCTTCAGAAAGGCCCCTGAGCTTCTGTTGACTTCTGAAAGTGTAGGCCTTCCATCATCGCATCCAGCAGGCAGAGGTAGGAAATCAAACTTATCCCAGTGACGACCCATGGCTAGTGCCGCTGTCCACTGTACACTGTACACAGCACTATCTGGAAGTGGGTCCACAAAACCCGCAAACCTTGACAACTGCAGCGAAAGACAGCTCTAGGTACAGCAATCATCTCTAGGGCTCCCGGTTTTTCCCCTCCTGGTGGGCCAGCATATACCTGTAGAGGCGAGGACTCGAAAGCAGGCCGCAAGTGTCACGCTGTCAGAGCGCTTCCTGAACACACACACACACACCATCATCATCATCATCATCATCATCATCATCACCGTCATCATCACCATGTCCCCTCATCATGATGCGTGCCACTCTTCTGCCGGGAAAGATCCTTCGTTGAAAACCTCAATATGCTCGAACTCTGAAACCGCAAACCCTAAACTTCCTGAGCCATAATACCTAAACTTTCAAGCCGTTAGCTCAAACACCCCTAAGTCCTAAAAACCTAACACTACAGTCCCGAAGCCCTAAAGCCCGACATAAACCCCGAGAGCCCCAAGTCCCTGAAACCCAATAGAAACTCATAGCCCTAAACCCTAAAACCCTAAACCAGAAGCTCATAGCCCTAAAGTTTTAAAGCCAGCTCGTCCCAGATCTTCGGTCCGTTCCTGCTGCGGGCCGAAGTCTGCAGCCACGAAGGTCACAGCTGTCCAGTCTGAATCAGACCAGTGGCTGCCTGTGGGCTGCGGAATTCCGGGCCTTTGCAAGATTCTATCTTTGGCAGGAGTTGTTTTAAAGGGGTTGAAAGCTTTAGCGTTTACTCGTGGATTCCGCGCGCGCTGGATTTCTTGCTGTTTTCGTTGCTTTGCACTTGATAATGGGCCAGAGGTCCTGACTTAACGCACCTTCGACTCTCCTGTGTGGCCCTGTTCACCTCAAACGCCTCTAGGTTTGGGGGGTACGGAGTTGGGACTCTAGACTTTGCAGTGCTTGGAGGTTTAGAGGTTTGGGCTTGCAAATGTGAAACAGTTTCACTCGGCCGTGCCACAACTTGAACCTCAGACCACGATGTTTGATCGCTCTAGACAAGAGTGCCGTGAGTTTTGGTCGTTCAGACACTCAGCTACTGGCCTGGTCCTTGACAGCTGACTGTAGCCAGAACTTGCTGGACCACAAAGCCCGCAGAGTTTCTTAAGAGGGCCTGGCCCCCCTCCCCCTCGGACAACAAGGCGATCGGAATCGAAACCCTACAACCCTAAACCCCCATAAAGCCCCAAACCTCAAAACTCATGACCCTACCCCTGAACCCCGGAAAAAAAAACGCCTCCAAATCCTAAACCCTAAAACCCTCCACTGAAGATGCCCATAGGCGGCCTTTTTCCCGCTCTTGCGCGTCTAAGCCCAGGGCCGAGCAGTGAAAGAGCTGCCTCTCGGTAGCACCACGGTACACCATAAGAACAAGAAAACGAATAGGACTAGGAATAATATGAAAATAGAAGTAGGAATAAGAATAAGAACGACAATAAGAACATAGGATTAAGAATAATATCAACATAAGAATAAGAACAAAGACTAAGAGTCATCATAATACTAGCAACGTTCGATTGAAGAAGATGAAGAAGAAGGAGGAGTGTTTGATAAACCTACAATAACATCTAGTAACAGTATCAGCAATAAGACTAAGTATTTCATACTCTTGAATACGACGATATAAGAGGTGCGTCGGGCTTATATGGCCCACCATGGGTCAATGTAGGATGCTATGAGGGCTTCGGGTTTCAGGCCCTGGGCCGATGTGCATTGTTTGGCATTGTGTGTGTGTGTATATATATATGTATGTATATATGTGCGTGTGTGTATGTACATGTGTATATATATATATATCTATCTGTCTTGATTGTGCGTTCCAGTGCTTGTTTTTGCTCTTTTTTGGGTTCAGGCTTGGGGTGCCCAGCTTGGGTGTTGTGCAGATCATAGTGACACTTGCGGCTAGCAAGGCTTTTAAAAGCCGTTAAAAGCCACCAATGGCGCCTCCTTTCACTGAAACCCGAAGCCCAGCCACTTCAAAACTTCAGCTCCCAAACCCTGGACCTTCCCTAACTCAGCTCTTAAACCCTAAACCTTCCGTGAAAGCCCCCTGAAACAACCATGGCAACTCGCAGTCGTATGTCCCTCCTCATCGCTGCAGGGTCCCGGAAAGGTGGCTGTGGCCAGAGGAAGTTGTGGTAGGACCGCAGGCCCTTGCCTGAGATTAGGTCCCCCCGCCCCCTCCTCCCCAAACGACAGGACAGAAGCAAAGCACGGTACTCCTTGCTGCCCCGTAACTCGCAGCTGGGCCGCCTGCCGAAAGCTTGATTCGGCTTGGAGGGGGCGATCCGGTCCGAACTTCGGATATGCTCCTACTACCTACAATGCATCTTGCAACTGCAACCGACGGGCCCTGCCTTTTAGCTCCTTCAGGGCCTTCCGCACTCGACCTCGGCAGCAAGATTTGGACACTGTTCCCCATCGGGCTTGGGGATGAATCTACACGCTAAGGCTAGATTCCTGTCCCTGTAGTCCCCAAAGTTGTTCTTGGACCGGCCTGGTGAGTTCCGGGTCTGCTACCGAGCCATGCTGGAACCAAGACTCAAACTTGGGGGTCTTGTTCGAGTGGAGAGCGTATCTGGTGTTCGGAAACCAACTCGGATAGTTTGATGTGTGGGGTGTGCAAAATCTTGAGACCAAAGCCTTCCGCTTCCGAGGTGAACGGATGGGCCAGGGCACGGTGGACCACAAACTTGGCCAATGCTTCAGACAGCGGCAGGGCAACCAAAGCACCTCACACTGACAGGCTCTTTGGGAGGCTTTGCGTCCACGCGAGTTTGGCTTCAGGCGACGGGTTCCCTGAAGATTCGGGTTTAGTGTTTAGGGTTTAGGGGTCCAGTCAAAGGTCCAGTTGTCGTTGCTTTGCGGGCTGATTCATCAGCCCGCACTCCCTGAAAGAGCAGATACAAACGCAGTCTCCAGATCCTCTGAGCTAGAGCGGTAAAGCTCCAAAGACAACCATGCCATGGTCCCTACTCTGACGGCCATTGCCCCAACGTCATGATGCGAAATCATGGCCTTTTGAGAATCTTGTTGAAATAGCTGGCCTCACCAACCCCACAATATCCCACATCCTCAATCTTCCGAACATTCTAAACCCCAGACCTCACTTGCAGATGAAAGGAACCTACAAGTAGCAGATACCATCTTTGGGGCTTGTCGCCTATTAGAGTTTTCGGAACACTCAAGTGGCTTCCTGTGTCTCAGGCGCTTCCGTGCCAGAGCCGGCCGTTCAGCTGCCCAAGAGCGGTGCTGGCGTCATTCTCCGATAGACGCACCTGCACCTCAGCTGTGCTTTCGCGACATTTCCTCAGTCGTTGTGAGTCCAGGCCCGAGCACGCAGCTCCCAACTGCATTCCTACAGTGTACTAATGTCTGAACACGAAAGGTGTATGTGCACCCCTGACTGCAGATGGGATTTCACACTCAGAAGCAAGGCTTCGCGTGTTTCCGGACCAATTCTGCCTCGTTCTTCGCACGACCTGCTTTAACCACTCCCAACTCCCGGGACACAGAAGCTGCGACGAAGCCCTCCCATGAACATTGCAGACTTCGGGTGTCAGTGGCGCAGGTTCACAAAAGCGGTTGCACCAAGCTTCGTGGCCCTTGCCCGTTTCGAACTCGATGTCCTGCAGCACAAGGCCGTGTGAATGTCTGCTGCTTTCGATTCAAGGGCACTGCAAAAGGATCAAGGCCCATGCAGCAGCTCCCCATCTCAAAATCCCTAAACCCGAAGACTCCAAATCCTGAAAACCGCTGGCCGCCTCGGGCACAGCGCTGACACCGACCTCCGTCAGCAGCTGAAGGACCTGTGCATCTAAGTTTGAAATGCTCATGCACCACAAGGCGAGAAGGCTTCTATGGGGCTGTCAGGTGTTTTGGAAAGTATTCTTACTGCGAACCGATGTTGGCTTGAAGAACCAAGTCTCGGTCTTCGGCTTGAGGGCTGAGGCGCTGAGGGCTTAAAGGCGCTCATGCTCAAACCGGTTGCAGAGGTGAGCAACACACGTTCACAAGAATTCCGAAGAATCCCAGAAAGCCCACAACAAGATCGTGTCGGGTCCCCCAAATGTACCCAAACCAAACCAGCTCTCCCAAAACCGGCCCCGCCGATTTACACGCTGACATCAACATCGCCAAACACCCGAACTCCCCGGCATTGTACTCATCCTCCGGACCAGACCCAGGAGCATCCACGGAGCCGCAGCTGTCATGGAGAGGCCCAAACCACACCTCCGAAAGCTCTCAGGAGGAAGTGTGTACCCCTGCAAAAAAAGGCAGCAGCCTTCACCAACAGAGCGCTGCTATGAGTTCAAAGAGTTTTTAGGTTCTGCATGGGCTTTGGAGACCTTGCGTCATCAGACTTGACCCATTTTCTGGGTCAGGAGTTCATATGGCTCAGGCGGTTACTCGCAATTTCGGGGGTTCCTGGGGGATCCCTCCTCCGCTTCGCTTCAGGCAGCCTCGTCGTTCTCCAACTTTAGGGGGGTTTAGGGTGGTTTGGGATTCAGGGTTTAGGGGTTCTCCACATTTTCAGTCTGTGGGATTTGACTGCATGGCTAAAAAAAAAGCACACGCATCACCCCGTATTGCCTCGCAAAAAAATGATGCGTCTTCGGGGGCCGACAGGAGTTCCTAAACCCCAAAATCCCGAACACCCTCAAAAAGTGTATCCCCAAAGCCCCAAATTTGCCGACAGCCCCGAACCCGGTAACCCCCAAAAGCCTGAACCTGAACAAGGTGCACAACTCCTCGCTGCGGCCGAAGCTCGCCACCCAAACTCCTTCTGCTCTCGGCAAAGGAAGCTTTTTCCTCCTGAGAGAGGCGTGTCTAAGCAGGGGGTTTAGGTCCTTTAGGTTCTTGGTCGTAGTTGGGATACGTCGTATTCTAAGGGCTTAGGGTCATGGCTTTGAAAGCGTTCAGGTTCCAAGGCTTAGGACTTTAAATCTTTGGGCTTATGGTTGTGGTTGAGGGATCA